AGGGTGAGAGATAGTGAGTGATTGAACTGCAGTCGGAAGTATTATTGACGTTCGTTGCTATAGCGTTTGTTAGCGCGATTGTTGAAGTTCAGTGTATCGGTTAAGTTATATTCGGAAAGAATAAACCAGTTTTATTAAGTAAAGACTTGTGTCGTTAAAGTTTCGTTGAAACGAAGTTACGGAAAATTAATTAACACACGGAGACGTAACAATACATTGATTATCAAATACTATCTTTCTTGCTAATATTAACAAACCGGATGGATAATTTTGGTTCTGTTCTTAATCAATTACTATTGGCTCGCTTTGAGTGTGTGTGTGTATTCTTTAAACTGGATCTTACGCTTACATGTTGACCAAATTCACAGTGGTTTAATACATAATGAGAAGGTAAACATTTCCTTCATGTGACGATTTAAAGGAACTGCAAGTTGTATTTGCTGAACAATCATTTTAATTCAAATAAAAGTATCTGTTTAGTTAAAATTATATTTAAGTGAGTTGGTTTAAAATATTTTCATTTGTGAAATAAAATTATCATATTTTTTCGTATTTTTTTTTTTATAAAATGCTAAATAAATATAACTTTTATCAGCTTATTGAGAGAATTTATTTTGTGAGCTTTGTTACAGCATGCTTTAATTTAATGACTTAAAATGGATCACGCAGACCCATTGATATACTACACCTATTTCGTTTGTTTATTTACAAAATAATAATAATAATAAATAAACAAAAAACAAAAACAAGACAATTTATCGAATAACTCAAACTTGAACCAATCAGAATAACACAAACACCCACTGGATCATGAACGATTTGTTTGTTTGTTGCAAATCTCAAAGCTGTATAATTATCTGTGCTCAGCCCACCGCGAGTATTGAAATTCAATTGTTAGCGTTATAAACCCCCAGACTTATCGATGAGTCCCCGCGAGATATTTATGAAATAAACACGCTTCAACTAACATTTTTAATTAAAGAGAAATACGCAGTAAAGTTTATGTTCTGGATTTTAGAGTTATCAAGTTTCGTCATTTTGTTCATTTTTTTTTTCCAGAGTATATTCACTGCATGCATAGACAATAAAAATGTGGGAATTCCATTGAAACTTAATAATACATGCGTTTGTATTTAGAAGTTAATAATGTATATCTAAGTCTTAAAATAAAAAAATGTGGGAATTAAGCTTATAACTTATATTTTTTTAAATAAATATTGCATATTACTTATGTAATTGCATCATAAATATAATTCTCTGGTGAAAAAATAATAATTTCACATTATATTGAATTTATTGCGTATCAGTACACTGTTTTCACAGTTCCATGAAATTTCCATATTTTAATGCCACATAAAATTTAAAAATCGTAGATTCGAAAAGTTACCTACTTTTATTACTCACTAGTGTTTCGTCCACGTTAATATTTTACGTCTCTCTCTTTTTTTTTATCACATCTTGAAATACCGGATCGTTCCTAGAAATGGTCAACAAACTAGTAACAACTATAATAGTGACTACCGGTAGTAGTGATAACCACAACCGTGACTGTCATGTGTTAATGATGACCACAATCGTGAATGTCTTGTGCTTATTAATAGCGACCACAGCTGTGGTTGCCACGTAGTGATTATGACTGCAACCGTGACTGTCATGTACTAGCGATGACCACAACTGTATCTACTATGTGTTAGTGATGACAAGAACTGTGACTGTCACGTGATAGTGGTGATAACAACTGTGACTATGTTATGCTAATGGTGACCACAGTAGTGGTTGCCACGTAGTAGTTATAACTACAACAGTGACCACTGCGGATGTTCTGGCAGCTAGAAGTGTGGCTGTCTGACACAAACCTTTTAAACATATTTCATAAATATTACTTAGCTCACAGGGCGTGTTGCGGTTTCACAGTAGAATACTAATACTGGCGACAGCTTTATAAGAGGAAAGCGAAGACGGTTTAAGCTCCGTCTTTGTCTTCATTACTAGAATTCTAATGTCTTCAAACAAATGATTCTTGGAAAGTATAAAGTATTTGTCAGTAATCACATACTTGAAAATATTATAAACTACTATTCCATTGTTGCACTTTATCTTATGCTTTCGGGCTCTATGTTGTCAAAGTTCAAGATTAAAACTATATCGATTAGCCATATTCTAACTGATTCTGTTCAACTTTTCACAAGTTATGTAGTATTGAAAAAATAGTTTTCAGCTGTCAAAATATAGTCACAGCACTGTTTATACCTTAACTTGCAATCTAAATTGTTTATAGTGTAATGTTACACGTTGTTTTTTGTTTTGTTTTTGGTGTAATGTTACACGTTGTCTTTTGTTTTGTTTTTAGTGTAATGTTACACGTTGTTTTTGTTTTGTTTTTAGTGTAATGTTACACGTTGTTTTTGTTTTGTTTTTAGTGTAATGTTACACGTTTCTTGTTTTGTTGTTAGTGCAATGTTACATAATGTTTTTTTTTGTTTTGGTGTTAGTGCAATTTTACACAATGTTTTTTGTTTTGTTATTAGTGCAATGTTACACAATGTTTTTTGTTTTGTTGTTAGTGCAATGTTGCACAATGAGCTATCTGCACTCTGTCCATCACGGGGAATCAAAATCCTGGATCCTGAAAACTTACCGTTGACCCAGCGGGGGATTGCAATCTGTAATGTTAAAAGCCAGTGCAAGAAAAACATTCCCAAGGTTCCTTAAATCCTGACCGGGGTGAAGAGAAACATAAGTTTCTGAACCCCCCCCCCCCGATTATATTTGGCTTAGGGTTCTTTTTGAGCTCAGAGTCAAATGGCTTAAAATCGAAATTTCTGCCAAGATAAAATAAATAAATAAAAATAACGTTCTACGTAACTGTTTATGAATAGAATAATATACAACGTAAATTTTAACCTGATTAAAACTATATATATATAGCACACTTTAGAGCATTATTATATTAATTTTTCTAGGTGTTAATATACTAAATGGCATAACATATGTAAGAATATTCAAGTACAATTTGATTTGTTTTTTTGGCTCTAAACGAGAGCATAATACATTTTTGACATACTTCGCAACATTATAGAGACCTTGGAATCAACGTACACGAAATGAGAACAAACTGCAGAAGACTCACATTCTGCAACACATTGTATATTCATTAAAGCACTCAACCTTAAAATGAACTTGGGCACGTCCTATGGGTCATTAATAATTCTAATTCAATTACGAGGATAGGTAGAGTGTTCACGAAAAGCGTGAATATACCGCGTGCTGTTCCTCCAGTGCTTCAGGTACTCGTGCATCGTTGTGGCTTGACTTACATACACACTCATAGTTCTGTAATACGTCTGACTGATGTATTAAGATATTTCATGTTTGAATTGTGCAGTAGGCTTGGAAGTCATTCTTGAGTTATGACCGATACAAATTTTGCTTTATTTAATGCGCATATGTCATCCTGTATGATGTTTCTCGTGTTATTGTTGTTTCACAAAACATTAGTTCTTCGAGGTACACCAAAGAGATCGCTAAAATTATTTTAAAAAATGAATCATCTAATAACCAGATTAACAAAAATGCGATAAATTATGAGATACGAGAACATTAATGTTATAGAAGAATAGTTCAAATAGATAAGTTACATTAAAAAACCGAATACAGAGATACTCGATGTAAATTTGTAATAGTTAAATCAGGATAAAAACAACACTACAAAAACTATGTGTGACATTGAGGATAGTGATGAGAAATAAATTACTCAAAGTTTTTGAGACTTTCAAACGTTACAGCCGCTCACTACAGAGTTCAATTTCTAAAACACGAAACTTGCCGTCTCACATCATGCAATCAATCTCGTATTATGACGAGCTGAAGACTATTGTTTCGAAGATAATTTCTAATCAGTTTATCAGGGCAAATAACATAATAATAAGGGAGCTTACAGATAGGCATTTAAACACAAAACTACTCAAGATCAACGTTCTCACGTTAAACGTGCCATAATCAGATATGTCAAGTAACCTTTAATATTATTGACCTAGCTGGGCTGAATAAGTCTTAATACTGCTCGAAACTGAAGCTCTCCCGTGGTCAAAATATGGAGTTTCCATTTTCAAAAATAAAAAGATTTATATATTATTGTAAAAATGTTGTTCAGAAATAATGTTTATGATGAAGTATTGTCCAATATTATT